CAATATCGTTTAATTATTCACTCTGACAACTGGAGATATACAGCTGGATAAGAGAACCAGTTTCACTGTCGTAAATATAGTAGATAGTTCTCGTTTGCTTTGATCATTGAATCGGGGTCAATCGTCTAGATCTATTCTATGTATTCTAAAGTAAGTTCGACTTTAGAATACAAAACGAATGAAACTTAAATATTTATATTAAATAGAAAACGTCTCCTTGCTTCAACTTAGATATTAAGTATCGTATGGATTGTATGACTCTATGTATGGTTACTTGGGCAACCGAGCTGTACTTGACGTCTTTCGATTTTGCTGCTGGATAAAATAACTTCGTAAAGAAAAGATGCCTATTTTCATTTCTAATAGTAAATATTTAGATATGTAATATACAAAATATACCTACGTCTTTATTTATCTAGTGCCATCTGTAGCTTATCTTAGTACAATTTGAAGTTGAGAAACAATAACTAGCCACAATGTAATTACCTCTAAATGCTACAAAATTTTATTAAATAAAGCAGAGTTTAGATTTTTTTTATTGCATTTTTCCGGAAAGATGCCTATATAGATAGATAACTTGAAAAAAATACTTTATAAAAAAAATCAAAATCACTATAGTCGTTTTCGAAATTGCCATTGGTACATATAAAAATTATGGCTCACTTAAAATAACGCGACAAATTATTCTGCTTTCATTTGTGATCACAATTCAACGATTGTCATCGCAAATAAAAACAGAATCATATGTCAACCATACTATAGACTCATTTCGGTTCATATTTTGTACCGATATATTTTCGAATAACTTGCCTACGATAAATATATACATTTCATGTATGTGTCAATAAATAAATATATGTTGTTTAGAATTTACTAAATCATTTGATTATTCGTATTGGAAATAAACAATTCTAAACTTTCTATTAAAATAGTTTGATTATAAATGACTACTATATTTTATTTGTAGAACAATATGATACCCAATATATTTCAACTAACTTATAAAATAGTGTTACTTTTAAATTAAAATAAGATTAATAGAATTCTGAAATTCTATAAATACAGTTAAGGCGTAAATATGTCAGTACTTGATTTTTCCTGCACATCTATCTAATACATTTAAACGAGCAATTCTTGTGTGTATATATATATATATATATATATATATATATATATATATATATATATATATATAATTAAAATCTTGAAAACGGCTCCAACGATTTCCTTAAATTTAGTATGCTGGGGATTTCACGGGCGTTATGTCGATCTATGTTCCATTTTTAGAAAACCACGTTTTATTCTCGTTTTTGGCAATGAATTACAATTAGAATACGAAGGTAAATTGAACCACTATCGACAAGATTGTAATAGCACAGTTGGAAAATCTGGCGGTCCCGAATCCTGAAGGCCTTGGTTCGATTCCACATGATTGGTTTTTTCAAGTTTTTTAGTTCTTTTTAGCAAGTTTTTTAGTTCTTTTTAGCAAGTTTTTTAGTTTTTATTGTCAAGTAGCTTTAGTGGAACAGTAAAGCTACTTGACAATAGATGGCGTTGTTAAGCAGCACTAAGCTAAACTGTGATCATGAAAATATTATTATGTCGGTAAGATTGAAAAATATTATTCATATTTCATCAGTATGTAATTCGTATCTACATATATTTTCCAAAATTCACTATTTACCAAAAAAAAAAAACCAAACCAGCGAAGCTCGGTCTTTCAGGTATTATTTATTGAAGCTGCAATATTTTGGTGTACTAACTTGAAAATAAAATCATGAGGAAGAGTAGACCAAATGTATCTACATTTTGTCTATCGCACACTTGACTTAAAACGAAAAATCTTATATATATATGATTAGTAATAAAGGAAGACTTATAAATAAAAAAATTGATCATTCATTAACGCATAGTCAAAAAGCCGGCTGTGTCTAGAAATTTGAAAATTTGCACAATCCTCACATTTATAATGTAGACAAGCACCAAGAACGGTTTTTTATATATTGCATTCAAGCTATTAAAAAGGGAGGAAAAAGCTTGCATAGAAGTACCATTTATTTTTAAGTTACAGGGCAGAGATATTGATGTTTGGGTTCCCCTTTTAAAAATTATAAATCAAAAGGTTATCGCGGTTTTTAAATATTCGACCTTACATGGAAAAAATGAGGATTGACTGATACCATTAGTTTTTAAGTCAGGGTCAAAAAAAAAATGTGTTTGATGGGGTCTTTATTGCAAATAAGGAAATAAGGACGGAATGAGGAATAAAATAGAAAGCAGGACCGGGATCGGACTCGAGATCAGAGCCAGAAATGGGATCTAGAACGAGACAACAATGGATATCAACAAGTAAATCGAGAACAGAATCGAAATTACGATCGTGATTGATAGAAGGATTACTCGCGATAGACAAAATATAGAAATTCATTATATCGCCATGCTGGGGAAGCCGAGGGCAAAAGCGAGTTAACATTTTTTGTGGTTCTATTTCTCATTGGGCGGTGTACTTACTGCATATCATGTTTATGAAGTTCAAATAGTAATTGTAAAATAATACATAATTTGAAATGATGAAATTTTCAAATCTTTTTAACTTTGTTCGTCTATCTAATTATAATAAAGAATATACATTTATTTTTTTTTATATTTTTATACGATAGCTCCTATTGTTATATTTAAAAAAAAATATTCAGCACGAAAAACTAAAATACAGTAGGAAAAAGATTTTTGAAAATATCAAGGAGACTCGGGAATTTTAAACGCTCGCCATTTGCCGCGCTTCGTGGTGTGACGTCTGTGAGAACAAACAACTAACCTATAAACAAATTGTTGAAGTATTATGCAATCAATTTTGTATTGTACATTATGATGGTACAAGCTAAAAAAAACAATTTGTGACTATTGTATTACTATATGTAAAAATACACTAAGTAATGCACCCGTTAAAGTGTTTTTTCTTGTATCGAGAGGTACGGCCTAAAGGAGAAAGAGGTGTGAAATTATGAAAGAGACATGATCTCCTTCAACTTGTTGTGAAGATCACTTCCACTTCACAGACATTTCAATTCTTTTTCACAAAACAATGTAAAAATATTAACTGATAATGTTAAATCACAATAAATTTTAACTAAGCTGATATAGCTAAAACATACATACTTTGACATCACACACGGCTACTGTTATTAGTCAGAACATTCATCATCGTTGCGTTTTCAACTGCATAGACGCTTGCCTGCAACATGCATTAACATGCAGCATGCAACCACCGCTGACCCTCGAATCTGCCTCTCCACTACGAATCTCTATCCAAATGATTGAATATTGATTCCAGAGGGATTGACAGATATCGAACACCTAAGCAAGTGTTATTTATTATTATAATTATCTAATTCCGCCAACTATTAAATTGTTTAGTTCTACGTACGTTTCATGCCAACAAGGCATATCTTCAGAAATGCCGACAGTCACATCCACCAGGGTGTAAGGAGTTAAAACAACCAACACAACCTCGTTGGACAGACGCTGTCATGCAATGACAATGACAGTTGCTTGTTGCAAATGATTTGTCAGTTTGTCAGTTGTCATGCAATGACAATGACAGTTGTTGCAGGCAAGCGTCTACTATGGATTTCCGCGAATTAACACCTCATACAATACAATATTTTCAACTGCATATTTTGAATTTCCGACATTTTTTTGAACTTTTTAATAATTACTTACTTTACGAAAGATAAATATGTAACATTAAAAAATATTAAAAGAGATATAATGCTGAACTAAAATAATTTACAAAACAAAAAATGTTTTACCTATATCTACTTCAGGTGTTTATTCCTCTTCGACTGACTTATCTACTTTATTTATCGAACAAAACTCTCCTTAAGAAATTGATTGTCTTCAACTTTGTCTGAAGTTGTAACAAAATACAATTTAAATTAAAAAAAATTCAAGTAAGAGTCGATTCGTGCGTCAGTGGTTCGGCACTATCGAACAACATTCATGTATTAAATACGTATTTAAAAAAAAATGTGTTTTCTTTCATTCAGAATCCTAAGACTCGCACTTGATTAATCTTTATTATTTGTTTGTTTACTTTAAAATTTGTACTACAATCACACCAACTTTCACACATTTACTGCATATTTGCGTTTTTACGATAGATTAAAAAAGTGTTATAGAAAAGGAATAGTAGACATTTTTTAATACAGCGACCCCCTTAATCTTTATAATTTTTTATTATTTTTTAATACCTCCACCGAAATAACAAATTTCATACGGCTACCTAATGCAGTTCAAAAGACCTTTGAAATATAATGAATGCACGGACGACCAGCTTAGACTTAGTACTAGGCTTTAGTACTAAGCCTTGGGTAATAGAACTCTAAAAACACCCAGACATCTGCCTGTCTGTTGCTATACTATCCTATCTATCAAAAATCACCAAGACTGGCGGGGTAGGCTTATTAAAATTACCAACTCACTTCATTGGGCGTTACGGGTTATGAAAGTAATTAAGAAAAACCTCAAATAAATATACGCATAAGCTAGCTTTTACTCGTGGCTCTGAGTGCGTAAATATCGAATGAAATCTTTTAAATCGATCTTTCACGCTGTCAACCATGATACCAATGTTGTTCATTCTTTCGATTTCTATCCCAGTTCAGCTTTTATTCTTCTTCTTTATTTCGTTTTTGATTCTTGTTCCGATCTAGAATCCGCTTCTGTTCAAAATAGGCATATATTTCACTCGCTGCTCCGTCGCGTGGATATACAACGAATTTTTCTTTTTTTTTATATCGATCGATGAGTTTATAATAATAATAATATCTTCGGACATAAATACACAGCACCGTCTGGTCCCAAACTAAGCAACTAGGCTTGTATTATGGGTACCAGACAGTTGATATACTACATACATACTTTTTTGTAAATATATACGTATAATAATACATAGAAACACCCAGACCAAGACAAACATTAATTTTAATCAAATAAATAAATGTTTGTCGTGGAATCGAACCTGACGATCCCTGCGCGACAGGTAGGGTCACTACCACTGCGCCAATCAAGCAGGCAGTTTATCAACCATGATCCCGATTTTGGTTCCGTTCTTGATTCCATGCCAGAAGAATCAATATTCTTACACCGAAAAAACACGTAATGCCCTTTTTTATTTTGAAGTGATCGTACTTAGGCTCTCGATTCATATCCTAGTCCTATTCGTGCTTCCAATCCCGAACCGATGTTGAACTTGAACCGCTCTTGAACATTGTTATTACCAGTAACCAATCAGCAGAAGTAACTAATTCATTCTAAGATCACGCAAGCAAAGCGGCGAGCAAAAGTTTGTATCTTTGTAAATTATAGCCTACATATTATTCTAATGTATAAGCTGTATTATTGTAAAATTTCAGCTAATTCTGTTTAGCCGTTAAAGCGTGTTTGTCTAATAAACATCCAAACACACAAACTTTCACATTTACAATATTAATGGAATAAAAGGATCAAACAGTTACTTCAATATCGGTTCGTTATCTCGAAACGCCTCCAACTGAATAATCGAAGAGTTGAAATGAAAAAAAATTGTCAATGGTCTTAGTTGAGTATCGCGCTTTTGTTCGCAGCGGTGTCGGAGGCGCGCCGGGCGGACGTGGATCTCAACAGGTCGGTGAGTGACGCACGGCGCTTGGCACGCGCCGGCGCCGAACGCCCCGCGCCGGCGTCTATACCACAATATCGTATACTGGAGTTATTAATTTGAAAGCGATTTTTTTTCACGACTGTACACGCGCTTTTCTCATTTCGATCGCAAAGCAAAACCGGACTAGTGCGAATACGACGCGCATTTTGAGGATTCCGCACAAACTCAATCATGTATATATAAATATTTCATCGATCAAGAATCTCGATGGTTTTTGTCTGTTTTAGGTAACGACACTGGGGAGATATTGGTGCTAAGAATTCCGAAACTTTTTTTTTGCAAACTTTTTTTCCCAAATTTTAAAGGTATCCGAATCATTAAAAAAACTATGTGTTTTCATAGCGCAAAGTTAAATTTTTTTCTCTCATATGGTCTACATCGTGGTCCATAAGCCAATTGCAAGTGTAAGTTTGTAATTACAAAAAATATTTTTTCATATGGTATAACTACAAATTAACAATTTTTCGGTTTTTTTTCTTTATTTCTGTTGTGAGTCCTTTCTTTCTGCCAAATTTCATGGTTCTAGGTGAATGGGAAGTACCTTCTCTACAGGTTTTGATTTACTTGCGAGTTTCAAACTATAACTATGGCAAAAAAGCCCTTTTTTTTGGCCGTAATTTTGATTACGTTGGCTTAGGATCTCGATTTTTTACACTTACGAGTTTACTCCAGACCTAAGTATTTGATATTAATTTCAACGTAATACTTCCACGCATCCCTAAGAAAGAGAGTATGACACATAGACAGAGAGAGAACAGAGTTATAATTTAAGGGCTCCTTTTCATCTTTTAAAAACACGAACTAATGCAATCAGTACGTTGTGTGAAATTCAAATTTATTTCTCAAATGTGTTATTTGTTTGCATAGGAAATAGGTATTTTACGATATGTAACGTAGATTATAATCCAAATGTATAAAAAAAAATGCATTTATATCAAAATATTTTATATTTGCGAAAATGAACAAATCCATCAAACTTGATAAATAATTAATTTAACAACTGACCTACCAGATAATTATGATACATCGTATAAGTATTTTTAATTACATCCCCATTAGTAAATTACTAAAATACAGTCCATATATAATTATAAACATTTTTAATATGATTTATTGGTATTCATAAATTTATTGAGAAAGTTTGCCAAGTAAAACATGCCGGAAATATTCTAACTTGCGTCAGTTACATTATTGTATTTCAGATCTCGTCGGCTTTTCAACGCTTCAGCAACAGCGTTCAAACTAACGAATTATCGTATATAGAAAATTCACTTAACCCTTGTATAAATATTTAGATGTACCGCACGACGAGAACAACCTTGAAATAAGAATAATATGTTTTCACAATGTTTAACTCTCCCGTGAAAATATTACTTACCAGGTGTTTTAATGTTTGTTTGTACATATTCCTTGCAGCGAACGTTCGGAAGTCACGCATAAACACATTTCAATCAATCATATACGCATAGATAAATACAGGATTATTTAGAGAATGCGTATAAAGTGCTCAGAATATTTCATTGTATTATTCATATGCATACCTAAAACTGATTTTGTAGCATGGATCATAATTTGTATTGTCCGTGTTTTAGAATAAGACTCGTGGCTGTTGAAGACCCGACAGATAACACCGCAACCGCTTACTCGCACAACCGGAGATCGGCGAATCTGATAAGAAATGATAATGACAATCGTGGCAGCGGGTTCCTGCGCCCACAGGCGTACCAACGTCTACCTGAACCCGCGCCGTATGTCGAACCGCGGCCGACGCTCAAAGTCTACGAACCCAAAGAAGACCCCAGACTTTTCTACCAGTCTGATGCGTATCTTAAAGAAGCTCTCTCCGGTCAAGTGAACAAAGAAGTCGCTGAAACATATCCGAGGAACGATGTCGTACCGGTCGACAGCGGAACGAATAGCGAGACTGTCATGGCTTCCATGCGATATGAAGACAGGGGAAGAAACCAACGAATTTTAGGTGATTTGAGCATATTTATCATGATGTCCTTATGGCAATGTGGCCTCCTATTCTACTATTGTGCATCATAACATTTAAAATACTGTATCTCAAAACCGAAGTCAACAATTACACTGCAATTAAGTAGCATAAAATCTATCTAATCTTAAAAGCCGATTACATAAGCGCTAGCTGTTGCTAGAATTTTATTCTTTTGTAAACTCGTTACAGGTTCAATGCGAAATATGTGCATAAAGTGTCCCGCTGAGAGGACCCTAATAGCTAAACCGGGCTCCGACCGAGTGATCTTTCAAAAGCCCAGATTGACAACTTGTTCAGGACAAAGGGCACCGAAAAGTGTACACTTCGCACGCATGTATGGCCCTACGTTCGGTACGTTGTTAGAAAAAGGATTCCACACTGCGGTGGGGAAGGTGATGTACAAAGGCCAGGTCGGTATAAATGTTTGTATGCATACGGAACGATTTACAAAATTTTAATTTTATTATTAAAAGACATTTTTTTAAATCATTCTATTCAACATTCTCATTAAAACATCAAGATTTTTATTGGACCTGCAAAGGAAAGATCATGGCTATGATTATATTTTTTTTTATCAATATCATTTTAGAAGTATTATGACCGCATCATCTCATCATTATTTTGAGTATAACACTGTATATTTTGTATAAACTAAATAAAATCAAAATCATGCGTTACAATTGAGGTACTATATATAGTATTGGAGACAACAAATCTCCTCTTCTATCACATATATTCTTTGTATAGATTTCTTTTCACAATTTATTTTCATTCATCATTTTTAGATGGTCAGTTTACATTAACTTGCCTTTTTTCGCTTCAATCACAGTATAAAACTTTCAAGCTCTATTGTTTTTTCAAAGAAACTTATTTCAAAGACGCTCCACACAATATATGTAAAGAATATATCTTCACTGCGTTAATTATACAGTACAATGCACGAAAATCTGCCGCTGTGAAGTTAGTCACGAAAACGACACAATGGAGCAAAATAGAAACGCAGGGGAGAAGAAGGAACGGTTGGGAAGCGTTGAACCTGCGCGTTGCATCCTGTACAGACAATTCAGAACGACAGAATGTCGTGTCGTTATACTGTACTTTCATATTACTGCAATACCATACATATTTTCACTCCCACAGATTATTTTAAGAATTAGTCATTATAGCTAACTGAACGTACTCGCTGTGAAATATTCACGGCATTTATAATAACGAAAAAGACTCCTTTCGCAGTATTTGCCATATCAATTCTATTCTTGGTATCTCCCTAGAGACAACCCTGATACATCAATTCTACATCACTTAATGAAGAGGTAAGAGAACCTCGTGTCACTTCAACAATAATTAATAAATTAATAAATAAGGAACTAAAGTGATATCTAAATTCTTATGTTACTAAAATAGAGGTGACATTTATAAGAAAAATTCATCAACGACCATCATCGAAATAAACATCCAATCATACAAGCAATTTTCAGCAATTTATTTTACGCGTTTCAGACACTGCAACTTTGTCGAGTCGAAGTTCAAGTGGTGACTCAGACCTGCCCCGCGCCCGAGTATTTGAAAGTACACTGTGACAATAAGAACTCATGCACTTTCACCTGCCGAGATGCGCAATTCGAACTATATGGAAAGCCTAACTTAGTATGCGGATACAACCTTCAGTGGGAAGGAACACTACCTATATGCAAAGGTACATCCTAAAGTCCCGTTGTACTGACGTACGAAATGGAGGAAAGGCGATTAAGATAGTATGTATAGAAAATGTTTATTTTCGCATCTTTCATTTATTGATATACTACTCGTACCAAAACACACCTTTTGATAGGAGTAATCCATCCGTAGAAAAGAATACTATAGTTGGATTATGTGTATTTTAAAAAAAGTATAGACGTGAAGCGTCATAAATACAATGATCTCCACAGAGTAAGTTTTAGCCCATGTTGGTTGTGTATCTATGGATTTATGGCAGCATAGTATATCCCAAAAATAGATAATGATAAGAATATATTAGGTTAGGAAAAAGATTTTTCGTATTTTATAAGTAAAATGTTGCAGTAAAATCACTTTGTTGTGCTGTTTGTATCTGACTAGTTTTGATACCATCAAATAGATGACATTTAAAAAAAAATAAAAAGTAAACATAGTGTCCCACCATTTATCTATTGTTATACTGTCAACCAAAATGAGTGAATCTAACGTAGAAATTCTATACTTTTTGAAGTTTTATTACGAAAGAGGGAAAAATGCAACACAAGCCGCAAAAAAAAATGAAATGTTTATAGACCAAATGCAGTGTCGGTAAGAGTAGCACAAAACTGAATAGCAGCAGAACAAAAAAAGCTGGATATACAAAAAAAACTCGATT